TAGATGGGGTTCTCTGAGGAGGCTGGTGGTAGGATGGGACAGAAGTTTTTGCAAGGGTTTTTCGGTACTTCAAGAAGGGGCCGAGGCAAGATGTGAACCCAGGGTTACCTTATCCCAAAGTCTCAGTGCTGTTGAGTTAATGGCTGTGGATTCTCAGGGTTGGGAAGATCCTCTGGAGGAGGGCACGGCAACCCACTCCAGTATTCTTGCCTGGAGAACCCCATGGACAGAGGAGCCTGGCGGGCTACAGTCCATGGGGTCACAAAGAATCAGGCCCAACTAAGCAACTCACACACACACACACACACACACACACACACACACACACACGGAGTTATATAAGCCCAGGGCAATGGGGAACCACGAGGAATGTGTAGGAAGGACACTTGGCACCATCGCCCTTCACTGGCCCTCTTCACTGAGGGCCTCCTTGTCTGCAGAGGCTGGGAAGCATCAGTCTGCCTTTCCCACAAGCCCTGGCAGCTGGGGTTCCAGATGTATTTGAAGCCCTGCACATCACAGTCATGGAGTCACCAGGTGTTTCCCCAGCAGCAACCGTGAGTTTAGGCAACAGCTCTGAGGTGCCAACAAGCCACTGAGCAGAAACGAGAGTATCTGGATCCTGGATCAATGCAAGGAGACACAGCCTAGAGCCTCTTCCTCCAGCCACTCCTAAGACACATAAGCTTTTAATCGACTATATCATTTGGAGGATCCAACCAGGGCTGGGTCAAGCCAGACCATGCTTTGGTCACCTGAAGTCACGTTGCAAGGAGCAGGGATCTGTTTGTGTGATCCCAGGGATAGGATTGTGCAAAGCAGGGCACAGCCTCCCCATCAGCCAGCAGGGGAGGAACCTCGTGGTTCTGGGGAGCCCCAGCCCCTCCTCCTGCATACCTGACATTCCTTCCATACACTTGAAAATCTACCTCATTCCTGCCTGTTTCCTGGGAGAGGCTCCCTAAGGCCAGATGGAAATAACACCCAGATACTGCCAGGAGGAAGACCTAGTCTATTTATTCCTGGGGCAATGCGGAAGCCAGTAGGGAATTGGTGAGAGCAGGAACTGACAGCAAACCCCTGGTATCACACCTAGGAGCCAGCTTGCCAGCCCCAGCCAGGATACATGGGAACGTTAACCTGGGTCTTCCCCAGAGTGGTGATCTATGAGCAGAGGCTGCTTGTCCTTCCTAGATGGTCTGGGCCAAGGATGTCCAGAGGCCCCTGCACTGGGGTTCAGGAGACCTGGGATCTAGTCCAGCCTGAGTCACTAACCCCCAGTGGGACCTTGGGTCAGCATCTTGCTTGGATTCAAGAAACAGAATGAGAGAATAAAACAAATAGTTGTTTGAAGTCAGGATCTTACACTTGTTGCCAAGACAGCTAGAACTTTCTCTAGCCATAAGTAGAGGCAGGTCCCAACACCTAGAGATGGCTTCGGTCAACACAGGCCAGATCCCCTCTCACAGATCTAGGCTCTGATGTGGAAGGTGACTTCCCATGTGTCTCAGTGGTAAAGAATTTTCTTGCTAATGCAGGAGACATGGGTTTGATCCCTGGGTTGGGAAGATCCCCTGGAGGAGGAAATGGCAGCCCACTCCAGTATTCTTGCCTGGAGAATCCCATGGACAGAGGAGCCTGGAGGGCTATAGTCCATGGGGTCGCAAAGAATCGGGCACAACCAAGCAACTCACACACACACACGCACACACACACACATGCAGAAGACAGAGCCATCCCAGACAGTGAGTTCTCATGGTGGGCACAGTAGATGGGGTTCTCTGAGGAGGCTGGTGGTAGGATGGGACAGAAGTTTTTGCAAGGGCTTTTTCGATACCTCAGGAAGGGGCCGAGGCAAGATGTGAACCCGGGGTTACCTTATCCCAAAGTCTCAGTGCTGTTGAGTTAATGGCTGTGGATTCCCAGGGTTGGGAAGATCCCTGGGAGGAGGGCATGGCAACTCACTGCAGTGTTCTTGCCTGGAGAACCCCATGGACAGAGGAGCCTGGTGGGCTACAGTCCATGTGATCGAGAAGAGTGGGACACAGCTGAAATAACTGAGCACCCACACAAGTGTCTACAGATCTCAGAGCTGGCGCTGCTCTCCGGGCAGCACCCAGGCTCCCCACCTCTGTCCTGATCTCCTTTCACTCTCCTGCTCTTCAGTGACTCAGCTCCCGGCCCAGGAGTGAGGTCTGGGCTCGTCTCTCTTCAGAAACAGAACCCTAACCCTGCCCTAGAAAACATGTCTTCTGCCGCATCCTGGCTGCTATCCAGGCATCTACAGCACCCCAGATACTCACAGAGGCAACTGTCCTCCTGGAGCGATTCCAGGAAGCGAATGGAATCAAGGTCAGGAGCAATGTGCTGCTCCAAACTGCAGAACATGACTTGACAACTAGCATTCGGCAAAGGAGGATCCACCCTTGCTTCAAGCCTCCTCCATTCATGACTTCGTTAACCAACACCCGCAACTCGGCCAGAAAACAAGCAAACATTACATCATTACATGGGTTCCAACATTCCTGAAGGCGAGCTGCAGTACACAATATTTAATTGTGAAATAATTAATAAGATTCTGTGCAATTAGCAGAGACCTGGATTGGTGTCAAGATCATCATACAGATTGAAGTCAAAAGACAGAAACAAATATCGTGTATGTGTGGAATCTAGAAAAATGGTACAAGTGATCTTATTTGCAAAGCAGAAACAGAGACACAGACAGAGAACAATGCATGGATGCCCAAGGGGGAAGTGGGGGCGCGGGATGAACTGGGAGGTTGGGACTGACATATATACACTATTGATACTGTGTATAAAATAGACAACTAATGAGAACCTACTGTATAGCACAGGAAACTCTGTGGTGACCTAAATTGGAGAGAAATCCAAAAAAGAGGGGATATATGGAAACATACAGCTGATTCACTTTTCTGTACAGCAGAAACTAACATGATATTGTAAAGCAGCTATAACATATACCTTTATATTATATAAAAGTCAATAATTTTTAAAAAAAGAACCTGGAAAGAAGATTCTTTGCAGCACACACTAATTCATTCCCTAATCTATATTTTCTTCAATTAAAAAGTGCTATAGCTGATGACCAACTTGAGTGGTTGTCTAAGCTACTAAAATGTTGCAGCCCACAGTTGGGAACTACTCAGCGACTGCAAAATCCCCCTAACTCCAAGGGGCGACGTGGGCCGGGAGGGGAGCATGTTGCACCCTGCACCTTTTTTTGTTGTTGTTCGGTCGCTCAGTCGTGTCCGACTCTTTAAGACCCCAAGGACTGCAGCACCCCAGGATTCCCTATCCATCACCATCTCCTGGAGCTTGCTCAAACTGATGTCCATCGACTCGGTGATGCTATCCAACCATCTCATCCTCTGTTACCCACTTCTCCTCCTGCCTTCAATCTTTCCCAGCATCAGGGTCTTTTCCAATGAGTTGGCTCTTTGCATCAGGTAACCTAAGTATTGGAGCTTTAGCCTCAGCATCAGTCCCTCCAATAAATATTCAGGGTTGATTTCCTTTAGGATTGACTGGTGTGATCTCCTTGCTCTCCAAGGGACTCCCAAGAGTCTTTTCCAGCACCACAGTTGGAGAGCATCAATGGGAAAAAGAAAACATTTAGGACTCTGGCCCCTGCACATGTATTTCTGCTGTAGCAGGATCTTCCCTGGGCTCCTAACTTAGTCTCAACCTTCCTGTCCACCCTCCTCAGAGCAGACCTGCTGGGATATTCATAGACACAGATCTGAATACTCTCCTTTCATGCTCAGGACATGGACACGGTGCCCAGTGCATTAAGGATAAAGTCCTGAGTCCTCGACGCTCATGAGGGACTGACCCTGCCCCCCTCCCACTCGCTCCAGCTCCCTCGTCCGCCTTCCACTCTCTCTGGGGCTCCACCTTCCTAAAATACAGTTCAGCCTCATCCTTGAAATATTAGCTCACATATCCCCTCTTCCAGGAATCCCTCCCTGAACACTCAAGGCCTCTCACGACCTCCCACCCTAATCTGGGCTCCCATAGCCACTGAGTTTTTACCCAAAGCTGACCTCTCTGAGTCATCATGGTCTTAAGGATGGTCTGTACCCTCTACGATGCTACTGAGTAATCACTGCACCCGCAGCAACCTGTCTAACACAGGCCTTGCCACACAGCTCATTCTCAATGAATCGTTATTGCCAGGCTCTTAAATGTGTCTGTCATCTATTCTAGACTTAAAAAAAAAAAGGGTTGGGCTTCCTTGATGGCTCAGTGACAAAGAGTCCTCCTGCCAATGCAGAAGTCCTGGGTTCAACCCCTGATCCAAGAAGTTCCCACCTGCTGCAGAACAACAAAGCCCGTGCATCACAGCTATTGAGACTGTGCTCTAGAGCCCGGGAGCCGTAGCTACTGAGTCCACCTGCAGCAACTCCTGAAGCCCGAGTGCCTGTGCTCGGCAAGAAGGGAAGCCACTGCAATGAGAAGCCTGCACCCCGCAACTGGAGAGCAGCCCCTGCTCCCCTCAACTAGAGAAAAACCCACATGCAGCAACGAAGACCCAGCATCGCCAAAAATAAATAAATAAAATTATTAAAAAAAAAAAAGTCCAGAAAGTAGAAGACTTAGAGGATCTGATGGAAAAGCTGGTGGGTGGATTCATCCTGGGAGAGTGGGAAGGACCCCAAGGATCCCTGTTTGCAAACGAGCCTGCAGTGTGGGGGGTGAGAGGGAGGCTCTGGTGGCGGGGGGCGGGGAGGAGGGGGTCCCATCGGTCTCCTCTCCTGGCTCTCAAGGATTGACATCATGTTCGACAGTGACGTGACCAAGCTCACATCTGAAACCTGTTGCTGCCCCAGGGGCCCAGCGTGTCTCTGCAGGCCTGGCAGGAAGACAGGAGAGCTGATGACAGCATGAACTGCTTTCTGGGGCAGGTGGGGGGGGAGGGGTGTGGTATAAAACCACCCGCTGGGATCTGCCACACTTCCTTCCACTCCACCGCAGCCAACCCAGAGCCATGACTCCACGACACTGCATCCTGGGTAAGAAGGACCAAATCCCGACTCTCTTCGAGCCCAAATCCAAAATCAGCCTCGATCCCATCCTCGCCTCAGTCCATTACTCCTCTTCCCTAGCCCCCAGCCAGACAAGTGACTCCATTATAGCGGAACCCTTTCCACATCCCCAAGGGCGTGCATGCCTGCTCAGTTGCTCAGTCATGTCCAGCTCTTTGGGACCCCATGGACTGTAGCCCACCAGGCTCCTCTGTTCATGGGATTCTCCAGGCAAGAATACAGGATTGGGTTGCCATTCTCTTCTCCAGGGGGTCTTCCTGACCCAGGGATCGAACCCGTGCTTCCTGCATTGGCAGGACTGTTTATTAGCCCTGAACCACTTGGGAAAATCAAGAGCAGCCCCATCCATGTCCCTGATCAATTTCCAAACTCATGCCCAATGCCATACATTATGACAGGCTCCCACCCCAAATCCCAGCGTCTAAATTTTAATATTGGTCATGGATGCAACACGACACCAGTGTCAGCTCAGCTGCCTTTAGCGCTTGACCCAGCTGAGCCTCCTGCTCTGAACTCTTCCCTCCCAGGGGAACACCCACATCCCTCAGAACCCCAAACCTATTTCCCTGAGTCCTGCCGGCCTCCTCTCAACTTCCACAGACCCATAATCCCCAGACACCTAACACAGGTCTGCCTCTAACCTTTCCCCGAGCCTCGGTCAGGACAGACACCCCCTGGGACCTTCCCTCCTCCAGGCTGAGCTCCAGTGGCTGCCCCATCTGCCACACGTCAGCCCTTTTTTCTCCCACAGCTGTCTTGGCTGCTGTCTGCATCCTTTTGCTTCTCTGCTCACACGGTGCCCCAGGTGAGCCCAGGAGGGACGTGGACACTTGGGGGTGGGGTGCCGCTCCCAGAAGACCCCAGCCCAGGACTTGCCCATCCTGCTGCCAGGGCAACATCATCTCTGTTTCCTCCAGTGTCCCCCACAGGCCCTCAGCTGTTGCTGTGCCAGTCACAAGAGCGATGTGGGGACAAGTTCTACGACCCCCGGCAGGACTGTTGCTATGACGATGCTGTGGTACCCTTGGGCAGGACCCAGAAGTGTGGAAACTGCACCTTTAGGGTCTGCTTCGAGCAGTGCTGCCCGTGGTTGGTCAACAGGCCCCGGGAGTCCTTCGTGGTGAAGGTGAAAGGTCACAGTTGTTACTCAGCCCCATCCTCGGATGATCGGGTCTGTAGCAGGTGAGGTTCTGTGCCTTCCAAGGGAGGAGGCGGCGTGGAGGAGAGGGGCGGTCTGGAGACCCGTTCTATGATCCAACTCCCCCCGGCCCAGTGCTTTTCTGGGTCCTTCTGTCCCCGTCCCCATTCCATCCACCTCTCCCTTCCCTGTTGCTTCTTTCTCCTTTTGTTTTTATATCTATTTCTTCCTCTTTGTTGGTTGGCTCATGTCTTTCTTTTCCACTCCTTTGCCCGTAATCTGTCCATCCCTCCCCTCGTCCATCTCTCCCTTGCTCCCTCTCTCTCTCTCCAGTGTTGGCTGACAGACGATCACAGGTCGGTTGGATGCTGCGCCCTGAATGAGCCTGAAGAGGTGTGTTGTCCCCTTAGATCTGGGACACAGAGTGGGTTTGGCGGGGATAGGAGACACTCAGATTCAATCCCTCCCTCCTTATTCTGTCTCCTTTATAACAGTCATCCTAAATCTGTCCTGAGTAGGGGGACTGGTCCCCTTTCTATGACCCTGGACATTCGTGAGAGGTTACTTTGCTGTTGGATGTCCCCAGGACCCTGACCTCTCACAGTGACCCCTAAGACCAATACTGTGGGGATGATCAATCCCCAGGCTGGCCCTGGGGACCCTTAATGAGATCCGTCATTCCCTTTGGCATTTTCTCCACCAGGAGCACAATATGAATTCTGCAACCTTACATATTCTATCACGGCGCGATGCAGACGGAGTCCTTTCTCCACTTCCAAAGGAGGCAAGATACACCCACTCTTCCACTTAAGAACAAATTTCAAGTTACCATGACCTGCTGGTTGCCCTGAATAAAAATTCCATTTCAATCACAAGGCTCCGCTTTCTTGCACTGATCTCGACAGGGTGCGGGACGCGACTCACAGGAAGGGAGGGACGGGGTCTTCGGCGCGGAGCCCGAGTCTGGACTGGTCTTTCCCAACCCCCCAACCAAGGAGGGAGGGTGGGTCGGCGCGCCCCCTGGCGGGCACTGGGCTCAGCGCGGGGCGGGGCGCTTCTGAGGGGGGCACCAGAGGCAGGAAAAAGAGTCTCCCCTCTCTTGGAAATCCAAGCCTGGGGCTGGACTTTGCACCGGCCCGAAAATTGTAGTGTTGGGACTCTCACAAAGGAAGAATTTGCTGGTCTCCAAAAATGATTTCCTAGAAAGAAATCAAAATATGCGGCTTTACAAGATTCTGGAAACGGACATATCTGAACTTAGTAAGGCAGAGCAGAGAGAAAGGTCAGAGTGGTCAATTTGTAAGACTTTCCTCCTCTGGAGTCAGCTCTGCTCAGAGAAGGGCCTAGAAACTTCTGGAATGTTTGAACCTTTAACCAAAGGTCAGTTCAGCCCAGGCCCCTCTAAAGGCCACACCCAGTGACACCGCATTCCATGAGAGCTTAGAACAGAAAGTGGGGGAGAGGGCTATGATCGTCGGAGGCCCATCTGGGGACACACCCAATTCAGGGACAAGAGGTATCCTCTATTCTGTGTAATTCTGATATAAAATTGTTTTATGTAAGTATAAAAGTAACACATATGAAAAATAATTTCCATTTCTTTCACAACTCAAAAAGAGTCCAGGAAGGGATGGGACTGGCCCATGAAGTAAGTGCAAGGAGAGAGGAAGGAGTTTGGTTCCAGGGTGGGGAGGTGGGTCTGGACACCCTTTCAAGTCATTCTTCACCAGAACGTTCCAGAAGGGGGCTGGGTGCAGATGTGGCTGGGGCCTTCCCTGGTGGTCCAGTGGTGAAGACTCCACCATGTGTAAAGTCGATAGCTAGTGGGAACCCGGTGTAGAGCCCAGGGGCCTCAGCTCTGTGCTCTGTGATGACCCAGAGGGGTGGGACGGGGGGATGGAAGGGAGGTCCAAGAGAGAGGAGATGTATGTACGCATAGAGCTGATCCACTTCGTTGTACAGCAGAAGCCAAATATTATATTTTACAATATTATATTGTAACATTGTAAAATATTATATTTACAATATTATAAAGCAATTATACTCCAATAAAAATAAATATAAATAAATAAAATGAAGGGTGAAAAAAGAAAAACAGTCCTCCATGCTTCCACTGCAAGGGAAGTGCCCACTGCACTGGTGCCATCCCTTGTCGGGGAATTAAGATACTGCACACCACAAAAATTAATTAAGAAAATAAAAATAAAGAGAAGATAAGCTATGACCAAACTAGACAGCATATTAAAAAGCAGAGATATTACCTTGCCGACAAAGGTCCGTCTAGTCAAAGCTATAGTTTTTCCAATAGTCGTGTATGGATGTGAGAGTTGGACTATAAAGAAAGCCGAGGGCCAATGAATTGATGATTTTGAACTGTGGTGTTGGAGAAGACTCTTCAGAGTCCCTTGGACTGCAAGGAGACCCAACCAGCCCATCCTAAAGGATATCAGTCCTGAATATTCATTGGAAGGACTGATGCTGAAGCTGAAACTCCAATACTTTGGCCACCTGATGCAAAGAGCCGACTCACTGGAAAAGACCGTGATGATGGGAAAGATTGAAGGCAGGAAGAGAAGGGATGACAGAGGATGAGATGGTTGGATGGCATCACCGACTCAATGGACATGAGTTTGAGCAGACTCCGGGAGTTGGTGATGGACAGGGAGGGCTGGCATGCTGCAGTCCACAGGTCGCCAAGAGTGGGACACAACTGAGCAACTGAACTGAAAGAGAAGATCTGGAGGTGGGGCTGCAGATGAGGGAGTAGGACTGTGGGACAGGGCATGGGGGTGGGGCACTCAGAATCTAGCCCTGTGCGTGGGTCCCAGTCTTCATTCAAATCAAGGGCCAGGCAGCACAGGATTGTAGGTGAGAGCCTATGGGAACTTCAGGTTGAAATCTACTGATTCTTATCTTGCCTCTAAGTGTCCCTCAACTTTTTCTCTTTCTTCTACCCTTTCTCTGTCCTTCCCAGTTGCCTTTTCTTAGTCTATACCCTCAGGGTTCGGATCCACCCATCTTTCTCCTCACCATCAGACTTTGCTTGCTGTAATGTTGACACAGGGCTTCCCAGGTGGCTCAGGGGTGAAGAATCCTGCTGCCAATGCTGGAGATGCAGGTGCAATCCCTGCATTTCGAAGGAATCAGGAAAATCCCCTGGAGAAGGAAATGGCAACCCATGCCAGTATTCTTGCCTGGGCAATCCCAGGGACAGAGGAGCCTGGAGGGCCACAGTCCCTGGGGCTGCAAAGAATCGGACATGACTTAGTGACTGAACAAGGTTGACACAGTCCCTTCTGGGTGAGATTCTAGAAGAGGGAGCTGGGTGGGGGAGACTGGCAGTAGATTCTCTTGCTGTTTTACTGGAGGAGGGGTGGTAGAGGTGGGGCTTTGAAAATCACCTCAGGTTGGGATAGGAGAACTGTCCCCATCATTTCTGAGGTGCTGTGGGACCCTCTCCACAGACACCACCAGCTCAGCACAGTGACACATGGCCCAGAATGAGAAAAGTTCTAGTGCCTATGTGACCTCCAGTCCTGGCATGGGACTTGAAGCAGCCTTGGTTGGCGCATTTCTGGGCCCACTGGAGCCTTGACTAAGATTGTGGCAAAGTCACCCCCTTGGAGAGCTTATGGAATGATGAACTCATTGTGTTTGAGAGAAGATTCCCATTTCTAGGAGATGGAGGTGACCATGGGAGAGATGGTGCAGGGCAAAAACTGACTATTCTCATCTTCCATTCTCTACCCAGTCACCATGATTCATGGGCTCCTCTCTCTAAACCCCTTGATGAAAAACGTCCATTGGTGTGGAAAGTGCTTTCCAATATACTAAGCATTTTATTAAAAATTCCACACCTGTAGGGGCTTCCTTGGTGATCCAGTGGTTGAGTTCCTATGCAGGAGCCCCAGGTTGGATCCCTGATCAGGGAACTAGACCCCACACGCCGAAAGTAAAGATCCCAAGTGCTGCAACCAAGACCTGGTGCACCAAATACATAAATTTTTTTTTAATAAAAGAAAAAAAAAAAAAAAAAAAAAAGACCAAAAGCCTTTCCTGGCTCAAAGGAACAGAGATCCTTGGAGAAATGACTGGTCTGGGAGCGGAGGCAGGGAAAGCACAGATAGGCCTGAAACATTTGGGGCCAGAAAGTGTGGACGGGAGTAGACAGAGAGTGACAGGGACCTGTCAAAAGGACCTTGTCCCACAGCTTCTCATCACCCAAAGCTGCCCACCATTTGCTTACTCTTCACCTCTGCACCCCATCAGGAGATGCGCATGCGGCGGCATTGGCGGGCTGGGGCGGTCCTCGGTACCCATCTCAGCAGGCCAGCACCTCCATTGCCCGAAGATGGCTCTCATGCAAACCCCTGACTCACACGCTTAGACTCCTTGTTCCGCATTTCCAGAGGGGTCGGGTGTGTGGCCAGCCTCACCACTGACCTCACGCGTTCGCTTCATATACTTTGGTCCAGCGCTTGGAATCCCCCAACCCACGTCCACTAGTACAACTCACGCGGGGTGCACGGGGGACGCTCCACCCCAGTCCCGACCGCATACCTGGTCGCTGTGGGGGCAGAGCAGTGAGGGAGAGCAGTTATGTCACGGGAGAGACAGGCCCCCAGGAAAATCACAGAACAGGACTCCTTCGAGGCTAAGTGATCCTGAGGGAGAAAACTCGCAGAGACGCGTGTGGACAAACAGAGTCGGCGCGCCCTCTGGCGGCGAAAGTGGGGATCCGCGGGGATCCGCGGGGAAGGATGCTCCATCTCCCACAAGGCCAAGAATAATCCACAGGTCAGAGCTGACGGCGCTACACACCCAGGGCACCTGTTACCTGCCAGGCACGCTAGCTGCATCATCCAAGTGAAATACAGTGTACCAGGCTTTTCAGAAGTAGTTATTCGTGTCCTTATTTACTGTATGTCTTCCCCACTAGAACGTGAGTGCTGGAAGTCCTGTTTAGCTCACAGCTGAATTCCTAGCACCTACAACAGGTAGGTGGGACACCCAACACGTACTTAGTAAGCTATATGGACTGGAATTAACATCACTTTTGCCCTCAGATTTAGGCTTGAGTCTGTCTCCGCAGGGCAAGGCATCCCCAAGAGCTAAAATCTGCCTGAGTCCCCATTTCTGGATATGGTCTGGGACCTCGAGGCCCCTGAATTTGCTGAACAAGTAGCTCTTAGCCTTTTTCTGAAACTTGCACATGGGCCTGTTCCCTGAGTCAGTGATGTGAGGGGATCGGGAGTGTACGTCTAAACCTGAGGAACCTGCCCTGTCTCTGGGGCTGTGGACAGAGCAGGGGCAAGCTGGTGGGGTGCACAGTAGCCCCCAGGGTGGGATGGGGAAAGGGCATTTGGAAAAGAAGAGGGGTGGTCTTCCAGTTAGGAGTGGAGGGGCCTCCTGTCTGGAAGTCTCCATGCTCCTGGGTAGAATTCCAAGGTGTCAGGGAATTCTAAATTCAAATGGGATCTTCCAGCCTCCAGTTCCTCTCCATTCCTGCAGGATGGGGAGCTGGGAGCACCTGTGAATGGAGATTGCTAGAGTTAGCCCAGGTGAGGGGAGAAGACACCTATAGGGAGTCCTGGATGGGGAGGAGGGCGGTGTGAAAGGAGAGCAGTCCCCTCCCCAATAAAAAGGGACTGAAAAACGAGTGTTTATCACATGAGCATTGCAAATCACTGGAAGACTGACAGAGGATACCCTCGCGATCCAATAAATGTGGGAGAAAGCTGCCCCCCTTCCCCCACCCTATCTCCCTAGAGTGAACCAAGGACTTAGGCAGAAAAGGAAGTCCACTTTGAAATTACACCACCCAGAGTCATTTGATAGG